ATGTACCAAAGCCTTCCATAGCTTGCAGAGCCACAGTGCCCGGCTGCAGAGCTTCAGACAGGTTATCCGATACTGCGAAACAGTGACCCAATGCAGGCATGAGCTCATCAAGGACTTCTTCGGGGACCAGGAGCTCGAGATGATGGGCTCCCAAGTCGCAGGCCGCAACATCAAGCCTGAGGGCACGACCGCATCGCCTTGTGACTTTGCCTGTGACTTCTGCAAATACGGAACGATCGAGCTGAGAAAACAAAAAGCGAGCATGCCGCCTCCGAGCGACCCTTCAGCGTTCATGGACCGCAGTCTTGTTCAGATTATCCAAGGAATGTATCGTGGTCTCCACTAGAGTGCCTCATGCAAGGACCTGAACATGACTTGGATCTGCTCAAGAACAGACTGTATGGCTATGTGAGGACGGTATGGGTAAAGGTATTCTTTGGCAGGTCTTTTGCTTTCTTTATTAAATACCAGTCTAAAGTTTGCTATCAACTAATCAGTATGTTGCAGATCTCAAACCGAGGTCTGTGATTGAGCATAGATTGACAAAATCCCAGTGATAATCTACAAGTGCCGAAGGCCAACCACACTCAATTAATTGACTGCCAAAAGACATTATTGTAAGAAACGAGATGGGAATTTTGAAAATTATTCTTCGACAACAGTTCGACCCATAGAATAAAGAGTCTTTCCTTGCGAGCGTTCGACTCGACTGTCGCTGTTCCGTTATGTCATGTGGATGTCCTTGGAAACCATGGCATAACATTTCTAGAGACCGGGAGGTGGTGGAACCTAATTGACAATGTGAGTACGAGATCTCCTTCATTGAGCTCAGCTGATGCTTACAGCACTGTAGCTGCCACCGCCAGGAGGCGGCGGAGGGGGAGAGCCAGCGCCAGGAGGTGGCGGGGGCGGGGCCTCACTAGGTGGTGGTGGAGGGGCAGGACTCTGGGACTGGGAAGACTGCTGTTGCTGCTGTTGTTGAGCCGCCTGTTGGTAGTACTGGTAGTATGCTACATAGTTCTGGTAGCCACCGTAGGCCGCATAGGGGTCAGATCCGTAATATTGCGCATACTGTGCGCTATAGTCAGCCGGGCTTCCGGCACCAGCGGCACCCGAGGTTCCTGATGCAGCCTGTGCAGGACTAGCCGTGGCAGAGGGCGAGTTGGAGTGTTGCTGGTTATGTTGGCTAGAGTAACCACCGCCGTAACCGCTTCCATAGTAACGATCACCGCCGCGTTGACCATATCCGCCATAGCTGTGCTGAGGCGGATTTTCCTTGAAACGCTGATATTGTTCCCTGACATTGGCTAGAAGATCCTCACAGAGTTCCTTAGCAGCCTGGACATCGTTTGGATCAGGGCCACTTCATTCCGTCAGTCAATCGAGTCCAATCAGAACGGAGACATGAAATTGTACTTACGCTACGTGCAAAAACATGGGCTCATCACTTTCCCTGCCGGTGCTTGGTTCCAAGAAACCGGAGCCACGACCCTTGATCTGCACCTTGCAACGAGTCTTCTGTTGAATGTGCTTCACATATGCACCTCCTTGTCCAACAACTTGGGCTCGGAGATTGAATCCAGGGATCGGTTCCAGATCAACCGGAATCCGTTCCTCGGGCCATTTACGCTGCACGCAATTAGCGCCTTCTCAGAAGTGAACAATTGAATTGAGTCCATACACGGCCGTATTCATCACGCTCAACTGGATCCGGCTCACGCCGACGGAATCGTCGCTCGTCAACGAGATTCGGTAGCTCCTTCTGCATCAGTTCGTCGATCAAGGCCACGGCCTTTTCGAGGCCTTCTTTGGTCGTGCTCGTTACGTGGAGGTACAGCGGCGGGTTCTACACAAATCTCATTAGCAATAGTACAAGCTTTTGGGGGTGGTGTGGTGTTATGAAGGAAGGATAAACCACATACCGCGGCGGTGGCCATGCTCTTGTCGGGGTAATAGCTTCCTCGGGTAGTGACATCTTGATAATAAGACTTGATGAGCTTCCTTCTTGATCAAAAGTTTCATAATAATATAAATATGGAATGAAGGCGTACCGGCGCCAGTTTGGTCTTTAATCTAAATGTCACGCAGCGGAGGTCAGCAGATGAAAATGAGGGTAAGTGAGATGCTATGGATGGTTTGATTTGGGTAAGCTTCAGCCACGGCCACGAAAAAAATGAACAGCAATGAAAGGGAAAGCAAGATGCTTGGCTGCAGCGGTAGCTGGCTTGCACAACAGTGCCTGGAATATCAGCAGACGCAAACAGGAATAATTACCATCTTTTGGGTGGAACCCTTGGTCAATGTGTAGCGGTTGCGCAGGTCATTGATTTCAATATCTTTGATGTAATCGCCGTCAGCAACGTAGATTTCAGGATTCAACTTCTTCGAGTCCGCGGCGGAGGGCGAAGCGGCGTTCGGTGCGGGACTGGCGGTCTAGAAAGCATACAAGGAACCAAGTAAGCAACAGTTGCATCATGAGCACAGGACCATCTCGGTTTCTCACCGAACGTATGGGAGGGACATCGACGTGCTGGATCCCTTTCTTGGCTTGCAACTGGGCGTTGATCTTGGCTGCTGCGGCAGCTGTTCAGATTTCCCCGACTTGTCAGCTTATGCGGTAAAAGAGTGAGCCGAATCGAAGCATGCTTGCTGGTCATACCTGCTGCTGCTGCAGGATCTACAGAGCCTGATTTCCTCGAATCATCGGCGCCAGGGCTGTACGGTTCACGACTGAGAGGACTGCGAGTGCGAGTGGATTCTGGCTGTCGCGAAGAAGGAGACCGAGAGCGACGGTCAAATCGTGAACCTCGTCGCGGCTCAGGCTCCGTCTGATCGAAGCGAGAGCGTTTGGCACGGCGTTCGTCGTCAGCCATGATAGGCGATAGATATGAAGGAAGAGGAAGTATTGCTGTAACTGGACGGGCGCAATCACAGAAGGTGGTCCAGAACAAGCCTAAGAGGAGGACCTTAGAAGTCCAAAAGCAACAAAAAGGTTCGGTGGAGTTAGAAGATCAGCCCAATGGACGCTAGTGTAACAACCAGCACCGGAACACTTTTTTCTCTTCGGCACAGAGTATGGAGAAATGGCCAATCGCAGAAGAGGTGCAGTCAAGGAGCATCTAGAGGTTGGTGAGCTTTGACTGAGGCTTTAAAGGTCCGCAAAGCTAGTCACTGTTATGACAGAGCTCTGCAGCATTTGATCCAACTAGGGTATTCCTTCAGTTATCCTTGACGCCAAAGACACAAATAGAAAGTTGGCGATGTGCAGCAGCTGCAGGTCATGTGATGCTGCGCATACCCCAACTAGTCTGAAGAAAGTCTAGCGGTAAGGTATTGTCACCCTGGTAAGTGACATACACGGGCCTGAGTCAGCGCCCCCGACGTCGGAAGGCCGTGAGTATAAAGTGCGATTTATGACTACCGACACTTGACTCCCTCTCGTCCTAAAAGAAGACTCCATTGAGTCGGATCAGCCTCTCTTGTTTTGCCTGCTTTTGTCGCAGGTCAATTCGGGAGATAATGTCTTTCCGACGCCCTCTGATGCTGTCGTCGGCAGCATCAGCGCCCTTTCTAGCGGTGTCTTCCAAAACCTCCCGAGTGGCAGCCAGTCTTCCCCGATTCACCACATCCAGAGCATCGTCTAGCTCGACCTCGGCATTGGCCTACAAGGCCTTGCATCGTCGCTCGCCTCTCCCCCTGCCTGTTTCTGATACCTCCCCGCAATGGGACGCCCCCACGGCCGTCTCGTCGATTTTGTACGAGACCCCCGTCGCACCGACCAATCCTCCGAAGCGTCACATCCTGAACTGCCTGGTGCAGAATGAGCCCGGTGTGCTGTCCCGCGTGTCTGGAATCCTGGCTGCCCGGGGCTTCAATATCGACAGCTTGGTCGTCTGCAACACCGAGGTTGAGGATCTGTCTCGCATGACCATCGTGCTGCAGGGCCAGGACGGTGTCGTCGAGCAGGCGCGCAGACAGCTGGACGACCTCGTCCCCGTCTGGGCCGTCCTCGATTACACCGACTCGGCCCTGGTGCAGCGCGAGCTTCTGCTCGCCAAGGTCAGCATCCTGGGCCCCGAGTTCTTCGAGGAGCTGCTCCAGCACCACCGCGAGATCACCATGCCCGGTGACGCCCTGGAAGGGCAGAAGGACAACAAGGCTGGTGATGGGAAGAGCAAGAAAGTCGAGTTTCATCCTCGCCATCTGCCTCCCAGTCAGGCACTGAGACACAAGCACGAGCATCTTGATGCCATCACCCGCTTGACTCACCAGTTTGGCGGCAAGGTTCTGGACATCAGCACCAACAACTGCATTGTTGAAGTGTAAGCTTTATACTTTTGCTCCTTTGCAATTCGCGATCTAGCATCGGCTAACATTTCGACAGCTCCGCCAAGCCTTCTCGTATTGACTCGTTCCTGAAGCTTGTCAGCCCCTTCGGTATTCTCGAGTCCACGCGGACTGGTCTCATGGCCCTTCCTCGTTCTCCTCTTTCTTCTGAGCCCAGTGAGGAGCTTGAGAAAGAGGCCGCTGATGTCGTCGATGCTAGCGCCCTTCCTCCTGGTTAATTACAATGCCCGATACGAAATCGTCTGCTGTAAAAAGCAAATTTCTTAGTTGTAACTCGAAGCCTGGTGAAATTGACCGTGTTCCTTGGTAGCAATTTATAATTGATATGTCTTTTTTCTGGGAATATCAATTTGATTGGTTCATTCTGAGATCAGTGTCGGGGCATCGTGCTTGTTACTTGTATATCCTAGCGCTTTCTTCCTTGAATTTGGTTCACTCCGCTAGTCGCGTGTTTTAAATTCCCATTCAATGCAATCTCAATCCAAAGCCTGCTAGCAAATCTGAGTAGATACCGAAGGAAAAGCATACTGTAGAATCGGGCTCATCTATACGTGATCTCAGATCACCCTGCAGTAGAATCCATACCCAAACGCCTACCTTATACCCTAAGAGCGCCAAGAAAGTCCCCTAACCCCCAAAACACATACTCCAGATTAGATTTTCACATTGGCCCGAATTCCCTTGCTGTGATAGTCAATTGTGGTTGTATAGTGGCCTACCCGAACGCCAACCGTGGCCATTGCATCAAGTTCAAGTGAACCTCCCAGAGCTCGTTTCAGAGCATCGTAGCCGATACCGTCCGGATTCATCTCGACAGGCATCCGGGGCGTCTTCGAGACCCCCGGGGGCACCTGGAAAGGAACGGAGTAGTTAATACTGCCGACCTCTTCGTGTCCCAAGTAGTAAGCGTTGGCTTGCACAGACATGATGTCTATCAGCGTCTTCGGGAGAGGCGAAAATAGGGTGAACTCGGCAGTGGATGACCAAAGGTGCAGCTAAGAGCGCAGGTAGATTAGTCCCTGTTCAAAAAGAAACCTGGTCCGAGAACAATGGGCTCTATGCCAAAAAACACATTGCCCACTGATGGCAGGCTAGGACGAATTCGAGGCTCATGAGGGGAAAACGGCTCCTATCAAGGCAGGTAGTACCGTGGCTTCTTGAATGAACCTGGTGTCCCCATTGTCACCATTGGGTGCCTTGGGTGACCCGGGAATGGACATCCTGGGAAGTTGGAACTCAAAGCCCAACTTTGATAATGCTCGCCCGAATTTAGGTAATGTCGGGATAGTTCCTTCATGACCCTGAACCGTCACGGTAATGTTGGACCCTAGACGTTGGTCAGAACCTTGATGATGACATGAATGATTCTAAGGTAGGTTTTATGTATCTTACCTGAGACACATTTTGATAGAAATTCTCGGCCAGCCTCTACACCATCCTGACCTCCTTTGGACGGCTCCCACATGATATCGACCCGAACTGTAGCATCTGCCTTCGAAGCCAACGCGATGTCTAGGGCTGTGATATGGGCAACTTTAGTCCCATTGTACAACATCAGAAAGTCGGCGTAAGGTACTGCAGCTGAGTATTCCGTTGGATTGGTGACATTCACTCTCGTTTTGACCAGCATGGAGGAATCAGTTGTAGGCCCAACTTCGAGGGACTTCAGCCGTGGCATCAATTCATCAAAAGAGCCAGAGAACGGGGCTACACAGGGATCAGTGATCTATTTCTTTTCGGATGTTGTCCTCGCCAATCTACTCACGCTTGACTTGAACAGCTCCCTCGGCCGGTATGCCTCTGACGGTGAACTGGCCAAGCTTCGTTGCAACTTCCGCATCGACCGCTGCAACGACACGAAGGTCAACCGGCTTCCCTTCAAAAATCAGAGATTGGAGGATTTCGGTCAAAACATCTTCATCAGTAACCCTTAGCGGTGCTTCTTTCATCGCAAAGTTTACGAGCAACGCCTGGGAACCGTCTGTGTCTGTGATATAACTTGCATTGGCGGGCAGCCACTTTGGAAGATTCATGACTCCAAGCTTTTTCCCATGGTAGAAGACATCAGCATTGGCACGAACATGTGGAATGTCTACGTGCAAGTTGATCTGCTCCGGCAATGCAACTAGCACCTTGACCAGAGCCGATATTCTTGGTTGAGATTCATCTGAGTCTGGCTCAGCGAATGGATCTGGAAGACTGAGATGCACGTCTGACATCGTGTAGTTCTTGACCAAGTTGTCCAGTGCATGTCCTGTGAGGGGCATTGGTACTGTGACACCCTTCAAGATGTCTGCAAGCCAAGATGGAGTTTCCAGGGATGGGTTATCTGCTCCACGGATGTAAACCGTAGTTGGGCGGCCGTTCATATAGCTCTTGACGAGAAAATCAAGTGGTGAGTCTTCCCTTCCGGGACACACTCTTGTCAATTCGTCGGAGAGACTTTGCATAGTACCAACTACATTCATGACAGCGCTGGCAGCAGGTTCGACCTGAAATTCCTTTGTGAGCGCATCTGCTACCAAGATGTTGGGGTCCCCCGGCGAGCAATTCGGTACGAGCAGCTCAAAGCCGAGCGAGGGTATCGTCAGGGACAAAGGAGAATCAATCGATGCAGTAAGCGACACATCAAACGCCAATGCGCCACTTCCACCAGGGCCATCCAGGTCGTAGACATTCAGCTTCGAGATTTTGACGTCAGGCAAAGCAGGGAAGTCTTTATCTAGAGACAGTATCAGCGATTGAGAAACCCTCTGCCAAAGATTAACAACAGCAGCGGGTGGACAGAACTAACCTTTGAATGTTACAGAGTCAGTCACTATTTGCTCACCCAAGCTCAGTAAACCAGATTTGAGATGAACAATGGCCTTTCCATTGACCCTGAGCTGACCAAGTGTCCCTTCAATCCAATCGTCCGCCACTGCACGAATACCCACAAGGTCGCCGGGGATCAAATCGGCCAGAAAATCAACGTTGTTTGTATGGCCGTTCTGAACATTCACTTTGATGGAGGGCAGAGAGGCCGTGCCGGCGAGAATATTTCCATAGTCCGGAAGGTAGACCTGTACCTCCGACTGACCCGTTTCCACTTCCCTGCTAATCCAAGTGACCAACCGGCCTAGAGTCCGGACCGACCGCTTCTGAACACGGTCTGCATCCAAGACGAATTTCCCCTGAATTCTGGTTCGCACACCATCCTCAGTGGTCGAATTAATGGAGATATCCGTAGGGTTGAATACTGCGGCTTCTTTTGCATATTCCTTCACGACCGCTGGTGCCACAAAAGCGAATACAAGGATGGACACGACAGCCGTCAGCGTGACGAACGCGCAGAGAAATTGCCACTTTATCCTGCCACTTAAACGCTTGGAATACTTGTGCAAACTGGAGGTCTCAGACGCTGACGATGAGGCTGATGCTCTCCGAGGCGCCGTGCCGTATGCAACAATATCACCGTCATCACGACGGACTAAGAGAGGCGTAGACTCTGACGACAACTCGAATGGTCGAATCGGTCGATCTGCCTGAGAGGATGAGCTATCTGTAGACGGCCCCTCGTTGAGCAGAGGTCTGCGTTCTTCGTCAGCCATAATGGCTGGAGGAGTGGGGAAGACAGCCGAATGTGGAGCGATAGAACGGATAATTATTCAGAGGACTTGTGGGGATAGAACAAAGAATCTATATAAGTCCTATAGAAGGATGTAATCTATAACAATAATAAGATCAAAGATGAGGAGAACAGGAATAGGTTGATGGATAGATAAGTAAGGTATCCATACTTGGAGTATCGGATAGGTAAGACTACCTAGGTGATGATCAACGACGTAACAAACACCGCCAACAGCCCAATAATAAAATGCTGATAGGAGCGTCTCCAGTTGTGGAGGAGCTCAACCAACCAGTCCAGTAGCTTAGCCAACTATCAACTATCAGCTATTTAATTTGGTATGAGTCGATCCGATAATTGGATATACTAGACTGCTATTATTTTCGACTGAATCATCTCCAGGTAAAGTAGACCAGGTATGTCTGTGTAATTGTTTGGATAATATCTCTGAGTCATACTGACTTACATACCACCACATCTACAGGGTCGTCAGTTCTCTCAATTCCATATTTCAATCTCAACCACCATGGCTTGCGGTCTAAAACTCGCTGCCGCCCGATACGGCGCATTGAACGGCCAACACTTGCGTCAACGAGTCCCCCTCAATGGCTTGCGACGATATTCGTCCCAGACTACCCCCCCTACCTCTCCTTTCGCACCTCGCCATTTTCTCTCTATTGCCGATCTGAACCCCACCGAGTTCGCTACCCTCGTCCGCAATGCCTCTTCGTACAAACGCTCGATCAAATCGGGCTCCGTGCCTCAAAATCTCTTTGGAGCCCTGACCGGGAAGACCGTGGCCATGATGTTCAGTAAACGGAGTACTCGAACCAGGATTTCGACCGAGGGTGCCGTGGTGCAGATGGGAGGACACCCGATGTTTCTGGGAAAGGATGACATTCAATTGGGTGTTAATGAGTCCCTATACGACACGGCGGTGGTGGTCTCTTCAATGGTTTCTTGCATCGTGGCTCGCGTCGGCAAGCATGCCGAAGTTGCCGACCTCGCAAAGCACTCAACCGTCCCTGTGATTAACGCTCTCTGTGACTCATTTCACCCGCTGCAAGCCGTTGCCGATTTTCAGACCATGCACGAAACATTCACACCCAAGGCTCATGGTCTCTCCAGCCTGGGTCTGGAGGGCTTGAAGATCGCCTGGATCGGCGATGCGAATAACGTTTTGTTTGATATGGCCATTGCGGCAGCCAAGATGGGCATTGGCCTGGCCGTTGCCACACCCAAGGGCTATGAGATTCCTGCCCACATGCTGGAGATCATCGGGAAGGCCGGAGAAGGCGTGTCCAGCCCCGGAAAACTCATCCAGACCACTGTTCCTGAGGAAGCTGTCAAGGGCGCAGATGTTCTGGTCACAGACACTTGGGTATCCATGGGACAGGAAGCCGAATCGATCAAGCGGCTCAGGGACTTTGAAGGCTTCCAGATCACCGCCGATCTGGCCAAGCGTGGTGGTGCCAAGGAAGGGTGGAAATTTATGCACTGCTTGCCCCGTCACCCGGAGGAGGTGCACGATGAAGTCTTCTACAGCCAGCGGTCCCTAGTCTTCCCTGAGGCAGAGAACCGGCTGTGGGCTGCAATTTCGGCTATCGAGGCATTCGTTGTGAACAAGGGGAAGATCGTATGAAAATCGAATACATTCTGTAGAAAAAGCAAGCCAAAATCAAATTAGCAAATCGAATACCATTCTGCGCCGGCTAGCCTTGTGTGTATAGTGCTATATTTCTTATTAAGTTCTATGTACTATGTTGGCACCGAATTGCTGTGTATCATCAGGTGGATAGTATATAGTGGAGATGTGGAGATTTACCCCAGGTTGTGCTTCATCATATGGTATTTCCACGACGGAGTACTGCCAGAACCCAAGAATATCTGTTCACCGGGTTCGGGCTCTACAATGATGCACTCTTCCAATCCGATCCTAGACCAAAAAGCTACTCGCACGAGCTAAGGTCTGTCTGTCCCAGAGCCCACTTTCACATGCCGACAGCCAACAGCTCGGGCGGAGAAGGGAAGAGTCAGCGAATCCTCGCCGCACCTCCTCTTCTACGGAAGTACATCATCCCATATTATTACTACCTCAAGCTTGCAAGCTGTTAAGAGCTCTTTAAGCGGATCATTCCTCTCCCCTTCCAGCCCAGAACGACTTCATCAAGCTCTTCAGCAGAACATCGGAATGGATGTACGGGTCTCTCCTTCCATCTGTATTCCTTCTATCTACTCACTCAGCTCCACAGGGTTCTGCATCCCAAAGCGGGAGCGGATTTCGATCCCGTCGCTCATATCCCTCACTAAATCATGTTTCGCTCGCACCATTGACAAATCGGTTCCCCATCGACGACGACACAGAGCCACAGGACTATTTCTCACCACGAGATGAGCGACCTGCCGACACACCAACCCGGACATCCTATCTCTCAAGCTTTTCCGTTCCAGGGACCCCGGGCGTCCTCTCGTATTCCCGCAGCGGATCCCGAGTCCGTCTGCACTCCCGAAGCAAGAGCTCAAGTCGTATCCACCGCAGCGACAGCAGCCTGCAGAGCCAGGACGACGCACAACCCCTGCATCATCACCAACATCCACACGGATCCAGGAAGAAACACACATCCTCGTCGCGGCATCAGCCATCCGAGTCGGCCGGACGCCGCGATGCAGAATGGATGCTTCGGGCCGGGATCGCGCTCGCTTCGTCTACCCGAGAGGAGAAAGGCCAGAGCTGGCTTGTGAAGCGCGAGAGCTCGACAAGCCTCGTCTCGGAAACGAATCACGATAGCCCGGTTTTGGCCCGCCGGTCGAGATCCGGGAGGTCTACGCCGGCCGCGCATTCGAGATGGGGATCCCGTGCGGCAAGTCGAAGGAACAGCAGACCCGATCTGGCTATGACGAGCCTCGATGCGCTCTCCACTAGATCAGGATCGAATGCTCATGACTCGGCCGGTCCCGACGAGGAGACACGCCATTTCGTCCCTGACTTTGTGGATGAGCGTATCCGCGCGGAGATGGCATCCATCCAGCAATTCGAGGACGGGTATGCATCGGCCTCGGACGAGGAGTCCGACTCGGAGGACGAGATCGACGAGCAGGAACTGCAGCGTTTGACTCGGGAGCGGGGGTTCGGCCTGGGCAGCTGGATCGATCGGATGGTCGAGTGGACACTATTCGGTGTCGAAGATCTACCTCTTTCTGCAAATGTTCAGTCCGTCCAGCCAGCAACGCATCCCGACGTATCTCCAGACGAGAACAATGTCCTCGATGATCACTCTTCTGCGGCGGAATTGACCGACGACAATGCTAGCGTGTCGGCTGACGAATCTATAGGTTCGACTGTGGTAGAGAAGCCGGGGGAGAATGGAGGCTGGGAGGATGCAGGGTGGCTCGTCCGTGTCATGAAGCGTGCACTATCATGAGCCTTACAGAACGCGGTTTCTCCATTGTGCAATTTTGTCATGCATTGCTCCGTTTTCCGACTCAACCATCGCTCTTAATTCTCGAGAATATGACTACCAACGTTGGCTTCAAGATGATCTGGAGCTCCCTCGTTTACTTTTACATTTACCTATACTCATCTAACTCATGATCAACCAAGATTTTGCAGATTCATTCTGAATACATGACTGATATTACAATCTTGTCCACGGTCATTTCCCTTCTATTCCGTCTCACCGTCTAGATCCATTATTTAAGTTGCTTTTGTGTGCAAGAGGCCAATACGCATAACCACATGTAGCTGGACCAGGACAGGTCTCTGATGCTTCTGAGATTCCACAGTGCTGCGAGGCGACAATCATTCTGCTGGTTTAAAAAGCTTGTCTAGACACAAATTCCCAATCGACGCATTGTGAATGCGACTTGTTTCATCGAAAACCGAGCATGCTAGCCATGCACGGGTTGAGAGCATCTGTATCTTTTACTTGACACATGGCCCATCTGGCACAATAAATATGATCGAAGCCACCGTAATTGAAAATGACACCAAGTTTCAGCCACCAGTATGATCGAGAAGAGCGGGAAAAGAATGGGCAAAGGGTATACAAGACAGGTAGCGGACATAGGGGAAATGATTGCCGTCAAATGGCACAAAATTCAGGGATAATCTTCAGAAGTCGGCCGTAGCAGGATGAAAACAGCAATGAAGAAGGAAAAGTGAGTAGAAGGAATGAAGAAATCGAGGAAAAGAGGCTAGTGATGGTTCATGTCGGCGGTGGTATGATGTACCTTGACAGGCAAGAAGACGCGATAACTGACGTATTCCCCGTAGCCTTGTGTTCTCTCTAGGTAACGATAAAAAAGAAGACGACGAGCGTGGTGCTCGGAAATATGACACAATAAATAAAGCGCAGTGTCCCTTTGCAAACTGTAAACGGCAGGAGATCCTCAACTCTCTAATTCATGCAATAGGTATCGTGATCGTATCATATGTAGGCGTGCACGGTCGAGGAATCGGACAGTAGCTATCGAAAATGACGAGTAAAACCGCACCGCTGCCGCAATGGTGCATTTAACAAGCGAGACTGCGAGAAGTGCTTCTCTACCAGGGTCCAACTTTGACGGGAGTTCCCAAGCCATAAGTGCCGGAAAGTAACTGCTCCCGGACCGAGACAAGGTCCCCACCAGTCGAGCTTCCATAGCTTTGGGAGTCTGGGCCGTGCATCCAACCCAAGATGTTACCAAGCTCGTTAACGGCAGCCTGAAGTCGACCGCCGGCATTTTGGTTATGCTTCGCCAGTTTCTGATCCCATCCACCATACTGTAGCTGAATTCCGCCACCACGCTTCGCCGCCTCTCGGATTACCAGAATCCATGCCTTGCAAATTTCATCATACGCAGAGTCCCGCTCTATGTTGTTCTGTGGTGAGTGCCATCGTGGCAATGCATGAATGATATCTGTAGCCCCGTCTAGATAACTCAGAGACACGGACGCTTGAGTTTCATGTGGTGGCAAGAAATGCGGTGTGAAATCACTCAGAG